GTGTTGAGAAAAAAAGAGCAGAAGTAAAATAAAATAACAGTAGGGAGGCTATATATACAGGGGGGTACCGGTACAGAGTCAATGTGCGGGGGCACCGGCTAGTTGAGGTAGTTGAAGTAATATGTACATGTGGGTAGAGTTAAAGATGGGGTGGGGGGTGGGGGTGGGGGCAGTGCAAATAGTCCTGGTAGCCATGATTAGCTGTTCAGGAGTGTGCTTGGGGATGGTTTGGTGTTATTGTTGATACCGCTCGGCCAACTTTGTTTTGTTGATTGTGTTTGTTGTCCGAAACAGTGCTAGAATCCTCCGAAACCTGCAACATATGTCTTTAAGCTCGTAAGTATCTCTCGTCAATGAATCATTCAAGCTCTTCAATGGATTCTGAAGCATAAAAAACAACAATGGATGTATCTTACTGGACCTATACAGGCCGTCAGTAGATACACCCAATACAAAAAATATTAAAAAGTAAAGGCCCAGTGCACTACTTTGGTGAGAATTTCATTATTTATTAAAAATATATATATGTATATAGACACCCACATCATATTTAGCTTACGTTGATTAGACAAAATTGTTTTTGGTATCTTTTAGTTGTTACTGTATTAGACTAAGCATATGTGATTTGATGATGTTCAAATGTTGAAGTTGAAATGGTGCTGGAATAGTGTAGGCAGCTCCTGTTTTCTTTGCAACTTGTGGTAACTCTCCATGGTTCTAAATCAATAGTTTAGTAGGCCGAAAATGACGGAAACATTAACTTGCTTGACCATGCTGTAGGTCATGTAACTGTTTGTTACATGCAATATTCTTTGTGGACTTCTCCGGACAGCGATGAAACAAGGGTTTGGTTGGATTTATTCTGCCACTGTGTCTTCTTATTGTCTCGGCCTTAGGCCTATATATCATGGTGTCAAGGCACATGAACTAACAGGTTATAGAACAAAACTCAATTATCACTACACATAGGTTGTAATATGGCTTTTTTTTCTGGCTTCCCCAGTGATTTTACCCACACACCGCTTCTGTCTCTCTGATAGGAGACACTTGAACGAAGCTCATCCATCTTATTTTCGAGTGATTGGACATTTGCCAATAGAATGGAGGGGAGCACGGTTCGGTTTTCTCTTAGCCTCAATTTCACCAGGACTCCACCTTGTCTCCCGCGTCTATGCCTGCAGCGCTTTGGTAGCCCATGGAACAAACGAATAGGGTCCGGTATGAACAGCTGAATCGGAGTTGAAGCCATATTTGAAGTCAAAATCGAGGTTAGTAACTGTCGATCTGATGTCCAGAAGGGTTTGGCAGTCATATGTGATAATAGTATGAACTTTCTGTACAAAAAAGTCAGGATAAACACAATAAAAGTTACTAAATAGCAGAGTTGGAACTTGTAAGATGTCGCCCTATATACTGTACATATGTATATAATGGTGTTTAGAGGCAGTATGGACATTATATGAATACAAAAGGTGTGTACAGCAGTAGTACAGCAGTACAAAGTAGAGTTAAAGTGTGCGTTAGAGTGGATCACTTTTGTCAAGTCGATGGTCACGCCTTTCAAAGTGTGTTGCATTATGAGGATAGAAATTGTCCGGCTTGCGCCAACATGTCGACTGCATGAACTTTACAAAAACCATGTGATCAAAGGTCATGAAGTTTTCACTGGGGTCGACTGCACGTTTCAGCAGTTGCTATTCACCCACTTCATCCTGCAGCCATCGCCTGCATTGTGGGAGGCTTTTTTGTCAAGCAATCATTAGGTTGTTTTTGTTTGACCCACGTGAACGTGACCAAAGACGTGACTGAAACAGGAACCAACTTTGCTGTAATTCATGTATACAATGGATATGTACAAATGAATGGGATATTTGAGGCTCTCGCTCTCACCAATTGATTGTACAATGTACACACATACGCTGAGTATACCAAACATTAGGAACACCTTCCTAATATTGAGTTGCACTTGTTGTGGCAGATTTGTCCTTATACTGTTCAAAGAACCAAAGTATTTCCAGAGTTTGTGTAGAATTAAGATAGACTTTATTGCAATTTAGACAAAGCCGAGGTGGTCTCCAGAGCAACTGATTTTCCACCTCCCAGCTCTCAGTTCATATAGTCATTTTACATACATTTTAGCTTAACCCCTCCCTCTTTGGTTCCACCACCACTGTGTCCAGTTTTCACCTCTTGACCGCTCCGCCCACTCCCTTATAGTGGTGAAATCTGACTTCCCCTCCTTCTATGTAGCCCTGTCATGTAAAAAGAATCATGTTCAGTTTGAACTCTGTTCAACCCTGGCTCACCCTGGCTCGACCTGGAGATTGATTGTGGACATGGCAGATCCACAATCAATCTCTCAAACATACCCAAGCCCAACCCCTCTCTCCCACCCTGTCATGCTGTAATTAATCAAGAAGACGCCCAAGGAGAGACAAAGGGTTTAGCCTGAACTCTGTTCAACCCTGGCTCATTCCAGGGATATGCCTAAGGAGAGCCACAGGGTCACAGTTTGGTTTCAGTCACTGATAAGATAAGACAACTGTAGAATTTGACCCGATGACAGGTCAGATGCCCATTTTACACACACACAAACCTAGTGAGAGGAACTAGTTAAGTTATTGCCTAGCAACAGAGATGTACCAATCTAAAAAATCAATTTAAATGTAAAAATCCACATCACACATCCCCCTTTTTCCCACAGAACAGCCTCAATTTGTTGGGACATGGACTATACAAGATGTTGAAAGCATTTCACAGAGATGCTGGCCCATGTTGACTCCAATGCTTCCCACAGTTGTGTCAAGTTGGTTGGATGTCCTTTGGGACCATTCTTGATACACACGGGAAACTGTTGAGCGTGAAAAGCCTAGCAGCGTTGCAGTTCTTGACATCAACCTGTGTGCCTGGCACCCACTACCATACCCAGTTCAAAGGCACTTCAATATGTTTTCTTCCCCATTCACCCTCTGAATGGCACACACTCCTTCCCTTCATCTACACTGATTGAAGTGGATTTAACAAGTGACATCAATAAGGGATCATAGCTTTCACCTGGATTCACCTGGTCAGTCTATGTCATGGAAAGTGTATATTTTCAGTTTGTAAGTGTGTGATATGAGGGTTGGAAACTACTATACAACCTCATCTCCCCCCTCTCGCTCAATTGATTTCAACGTGATATCGATAATGAGTGATTGACAAATAAGTGTTGCGTTTATCTTCCCGTTTTGCGACCACCAAATCAACATGCATCACTCCAAAATGTAGCTGACTGTCTACTGCAGGTTGTTCTCTAACCAGTGATGTAAAAAATATCTCCAGTTTCCATGTGTTTTTTTTGTTGTTATGTAAGTTTCAACAGCACCTACAACCTGATTTCCCCCCTAATCGATATATCAGTGATTTATTGCTAGTTGTCAAAACCACAGCGTTTTTGGTGCGTGTGCAGTTTAAAAAAAGACAAGTAATATGATTACTATTTTTGCACATATATGTGTAGATAGTACATTTTATGTTTTTGTTTTCAATATATCACAAACTGTTTCTGCATATTGGTTATTTATTGGGACACGTGTTTTGACATTGGGCTTTATATCAAAAATGTCTTGTCAACAGGAAGCAGCGACAGAATCATTTTCAACTTAAGTTGTAATTTTTTTTATTGTCATTTAGCGGACCCTATGAGCGACTTACAGTTATTGCATTCATCTTAAGATAGCTAGGTGGGACAACCACATATCACAGTCATAGTAAGGACATTTTCCCTCAAAGTAGTGTAGTGTCTGAGGAGTTATGACTTTGCTAACGTTTTCAAGTGGAACCTGAGAGGATGTTTATTCAGTTTTAGAGGGACACCCCATAGAACAGAAGAAGTCTGTTGTGTGGAGACAGGTGATTGGTCTGTAGGGGAACACCCATATCAGATTACATAGAATATATACCACAGTTGGGACAAATGAAGACAGAATAATCAGATTTGAGATGGGGCGATTATTCTCCGGGTATCTGCAGGTATCTGTAAATCGACGCTGTAACCCTTTGTTATGAATAAATCTTATGATGAAAATATAGCGTCAGCGGGTTCTCCTTGGTCATCACAGCATAATTAGCAACGTTTGCTCGACACAACAGTAGCTATCAGCAAAATGCGGAAAAAGTCAAGGGGTCTGAGTACTTTCCGAAGGCACTGTACATTTAACTTTAAACATACATTTTTATTGTACTTAACCAGGTAAAATCTGCTGAATGAGTCCAAAAACGTGCTGCGATTGATATATTTTGATGACATACCAGAAATCACCAAAACGGGTTTGCCCTGCCTAGTAGTAGTCTACAGTCTTATACAATGAATGAGTCTGTTCACCATTTTGATGGTGCATAAACATCACAATAACTGCCAATAATAAGCGTTTATTAAAGTATTCACTTTCAGGGATTTTTTGCATTTCTCACCACTAGAATGAGAAAGATACCTCATTATTAGTTCACCAGCAATACTAACACAAATACTTATTGGCCAAAACAATACATAAAAAACACTTATTTCAAACAAAAATTCCTAACCCTATACACTAACAACACTTCACAATTTTCTGTACAGCAGTCTAACTCAGAGCAACAAAACAAGTAAGTCTAACCAATTATTTTCTGAACAGCCTTTCCAGTGCACAAAGTTACCCAAAGTAACAGTAATATTATAAATAGACAAGATGGCACTTAATTGAAACTAATTTAGAATAATTCAGCTCTCTCTTGCATCATGTGCAACACATTGTTGCATTGCTTACTTTACCATCCAAGTCAATTTTCTCAGCTTTCTAATGGGCGTCATAAAAAAAGAAGTTTTGAGATAAATCTTGCTGCAAATATTGTGGGTAATACAATATTTTTTCTGTCTTTTTTTTTTTGGTTATACATTGCTATTTGGCTGACAGAAAATGGAACCCCTGTTCCATCAGGAATTCTCACACTTACACAGTACAAGCATTTCCATAGATATGTCACCTCAGAATAGGTAACTTGTACTGTGGTGCAGTCCTGTATTGCAGCATCTGGTGCCCCACACATTACGTCTACATTGGATATCATAGAGAGTATCCTGCTTTGCAGAGTTTTGTTGGGTCATATTAAGGAGAGTTGATTGGGCAATCCAGGGTTTCCTATTAGAATTTGACCTCATTTAATATTGCTGGGGTATCTCCTCCTTTCTTCAGGATATTGGCATTCCTTGGCACTTGTCTGCACAACCTGTGAAGATATTAAAGTTGGATTTAAAATTCACATTTGTTATATCATAACAAATACTCTTAATTGAACTGAACATTCCAATGCTGTATTTCAGAGTAGGGCATACCCTTTGCATTGCTGCATCTGCGCCACTGTCTCTGGTAGCTCTTTGCGGAATGTCTCTGGCAGGAAGAGGTTCAAAGCAGACGAGGCGACCGTCATACTTCCCATTATAATGTAGGGGAGGTACTTGTTAATGCTGCCTGTGAACACCAAAAGTACATTGTGCTTGAAGACAGACAGACCTTAACTGATGAAAATATTTGTTGTGAAATCCATTAATTGTAAAACAGGATTTTGGGTACAATGAATGCATGGATGACGTGCAATGAAAATGTAATGGGGTTTGTATTTTGTACGATGTCTGCCATTGAAAAATGTGAATCCTGATGGTAACCAAACACTGTGATTGTACCTAGGTAGATGACGTATGGGGCCGCAATAGTCCCGATCCGAGCAGCTGAAGAACACATTCCGACGCCAGCACTCCTGACAACAGTGGGGTAGATCTCTGCGGTGTAGATGTAGACTACGGTGAATGACATGGTGAAGCCAAACTTCCCGACCATCTCCACAGCTATAGCAACACCTTGCAGATCTACAGGATAGAGAAAGACATTTTGAGATAGTTGTGAGAATACAAGCTTTTTTCAGAGGGGGAATGAACGAGAACAGCAGAAAAATAAGATTTGATATTAAATATTTGATTAAAAATACATGAATCCTCTTAACCTTTACTTTGCCCTTTGCTATACATTTTATGATATTTGCCCAAGTTTATTGGCTTTGAATCACACTACAGTGAAGTGTGTGTGTGTGTGTGTGTGTGTGTGTGTGTGGAGGGGGGGTTACCCTACATATGCCCCACATATGCCCCCAGTGCTCAGCAGATCTTCCCCATTCTCATTTATGTGCAGGTTGGCATGCCCTGGGAGAACGGGAGGGGTGAATGTGCACGTAGTTCAAATTCCAGTAGTAGCAGTTCTGGTAGCGAATCATAAGTGCTTCAAGAGTGCTCATCTCACCCAAGATCCGCTCTTCTTCTCCCTGGGCATGCTCTTCTTAACTTTGATACTTCTGTTTGTGAGCTTGTTGATAGAATTGTTAATATTGCATTGTATCTTGTTGTGAGGGATCACTGCAGGACTTCTGTAGGAGCGCTGACACTGAAGATGTTGTTAAATGTTGTGTATGGAGCTCTCTGTTTTCAACCTTGAATATTGATTGAATAATTTAGGCTATGTGAAGCTAATAAATAAATAAAATAAAACAAGCTTTACATTGACATCTCTGTTCGCTCATTTCTGTGCTTCACACACAGTCTATATTTATCACAGGACCTCGCCTCTATAAACAAGGTGGCGTAGTTCTGCTAGCAAACTTCAACTGGTCACTTTGTTGATTTACAATGAATGAATAACTAAACATGTTGAAAAACATATCTAACGTGATTACCAGATACTACGTTAATTTGATTATCTCTTATCATCTAGCGATTTGATCTTATATAAGATTATACAATCTTAAACAATCAAAATTCAAAGTCTTACTCTCGGGGATGAGTTGGATCAGGAAAAGCATTCCTCCTCCTATTAAGAGAAAAGCTGACAGTAGTGGTCTTCTCGGACAGTTCCTGAGGAGCACTGTAGATACTACATATGCTGGGACTTCAGTAAGAGCTGATAAGAAACAATTTAGATAAGGATCTCCATTCAGATTGGAGGTGTTTAGCGAGAGTCCATAATATCCTACGTTTACTGCCATCCTGAAAAGACACAATAGAGATGATAGAGCTTGAATGAAACTCAAAACACAACTAAACACCAGTTTATTCATTACAAATTATTGACTGTAGTATAGTGGGTCTGTGTGTGTGTATGTGCCGAAGTGCTTCAAACCTAAACATTATGCTATAACCTATATCGATAACCTAATATGATATACATCCAATCTATTATTATTATTATTATTATTATTATTATTATTATTATTATTATTATTATCTCTGATAGAATAGAAACTCACCATAAAAACAAACACATCAATGTGACACATCTTATGTTGCTGGTTCTCAGAACGTCAATCATGCTATATTTCTTTTTCGGTGCCAATGCTACGTCCAACTGCTGAAATTATGAAATAAGCATCCATTAAGTACAGTAATGAGCCTCGTGTATACCTGGTTCTAATATGTGCCCTGATCTTGTCCACATTCTGATTTGTGCCCACATTTTCAGACGCATCTACACATGGTATTAAACTGTATCTCTTATCCATCCACTATGTCCTCATTGTGACCAGATTTCCTGGTGCCTTCTTGTATGCAAGTTATTTGACAGGTATTCCTAATATAATAAAATATTTATTTTGACACATTGATGCCATTAGTCAATGGTGCCACCTGTCAATGGTTTTAGAGGGCGGCTATATCGATGATTTAAATGGTTTCAGTGTCCAGATCTGTCTACACTTGTAAGATATCCAGACATAATGTGTGCCTGACTACCTCCGGAGGTGGTCAGGAAGATCTGATCACAATCAGATCACAACGTGTCCTTTGATTGTCTACACCTGTCTAAAAATGTGGGCACAATCAGAATGTCGACAAGATCGGGACAAAAGGCGCTTGTTAGCACCAGGTATAAATGGGCTACAGAGATGCTCTTTAGGCCATGTTGTTTCTTTCTTATAGGCTGAATTACTGAACTGAATTTATTTCACAAACACAAATGCTGAAACTCACCTCGGTGTCTTTGAAGATGACCTCTGGTGCTGTGACTCTGTTCCTCCTGGCAGCGTCTCTCAGTATGGCCTCTGCCTCCTCCACTCTTCCCTGAGAGTATAACCATCGTGGAGACTCTGGGATGAACCTGACATAAACAGTGTTTGTAGTGAGGTGAGTAACAGTGCTTGTATTTTTATGGGCATTTATAGTTTTGGTTTAGTTGTATAAATGCTTCTTTAGACATACAGAAGATTAAAACATACGATTTTTACTGAGAACATACCACCACAATGGGATATACACTACGGGCACACTGGACAGGATTATGAGAAGTGTTCTCCATTCCCTCATTGCGTACGCGATCCAGGGCAGTGTCATGTAGCCGATACAGTAGTGCAGAAAAGCCCCCAGAGTAGTGAAAACTTCACGCATGGACTTACTCAACACCTCTGTTCCTGTTGAAGAGAATTTATATTCAATTATTATTTAGATGTTTTTGAAATGCCTGCTGGGATCAAGTTTTGTCTATAATTTAGCTAAACAATTTAACTAAAAAGAACCCCATCTTTGGCATCTTTTAAAAGTAAATAGTCATAGATGAGGTCATAGTGTAAACAAACCATCAAAAATTGGGAAAATGTGTCAATGGGTACAACAAGGACGTCCACTCTCTCCTCTATTGTTCAATTTTTAAACCTTAATCAGATATTAAGCCTTGTTAGAGTAGTCCAGCTATTCCACAACCATAAATGGGCTAATAAACAAATGAACAGGACATTTAAAGTCACATGGTTTTACTCCAAATTCGGTATATGTGATCTGAGATTTCTACATGCTGCCATTTGTTATATGAATATTACTTGACACAAAAGTCCAACAAATAATCAAACATCAAGCTAATTTCACTGAGGTTTGTAATGGCTACTGATACATTCACTACCAGCCATTCTGTAGGCATGCTGCTCGAAGGAAACACCTTTAGTGACGGAAGCAATGCCTAGCATAACTTTAAAATGATAACAGGGTTTTATGGCATTTACTTTACGGGCAGCTAATTAAAGTTGACTGTGGTCTGTGTTCATGATCATGGTCACCGTTACATTGCTACAAGTTATTCAATTAATTTAATAGAATATAAGAGTTTATGTTTGTATAAAATGAGTTAATGTCCATGCTTACCCAGTACAAATGCACTTATATAGAGGGATATCTGAGAGGCCCCAACAAACATGAACAAAATGCAGAAAACCTCCCATGAGGGAGAGAAGGCCTGAATGAGCACAGAGACCAACTGGGCAGCAAGAGAGCCGAAAATAACTTTCTTCCTCCCAAACCTAAATGGAAAAGAAAATAGTGTTAAGTGAAACAAACATTTCATAGAGAAAACAATTTAACAAATGAATCCGACACAATCAATCCGGTTACCAGTTCCTAATGATCAGGTTACCAGTTTTGATTGAATAGGGTTGTCGACGTAAGACAAGTCTATAATTTGACAGCAGAGGGCGCTACAGTCATAGGACAGCTGTTTAGTCGGCAGAGTTGACAGATAATGTATGACTTTCCACATGAAATCTACAGGTAGAGGGCGGAGCATAGTGATTGCAGGGAGAAACAGTACCTGTCAGAAAGCTGGCCAGACACCAGGGATCCAATCAGGAAACCCACGAAAAGAGTTGACGAGGCAAAAGGAGTTTTCCACTCATTGTCACATACAAGGTCCCACTGCAGGAAAATAAACACATTATTCCTAAAGTGACAGCACCCGTGACAGCAGAAGGCTCCAGTAACAAACCCATACTGAAAAACAACATTGAATTTGCCCCCAAAGTGTAAGAGAAGGACAGGAGCTGGGAATGGTTGCTACATGGGCACATTTCACTGATGCCAATGGAAGTTTCAGGCAATTACCAAAGCCATTAACACCTCCCCAGTGACATTGATCACTCAACAATACCCAATACTGTAATTCCAAATCAAATATCAGAGTGGCATGCGTGTTTGATTAGATATTCATGATTCTGGTAATTATCTAAGCAAGGAACATACTCTGTGTAGTACAACCAATTCACTAATTCATGGCCAAATGTTTGTGACACATGACTGCCCTTGGCAACATACACTCACCTCAGTGACTATGGTGGACTGGTATATATCTTTGCTGTAGCTCCATCCATCCACACAGCGCTCCTGCTCCACTCCAGTGAGGTTGACGTCCAGGCCGGGGATGTAGCCCAGAGCAGACAGGTTTCTGACCACATCCAGCCTGTATCTGCTGCACTTACTCTCCTCCTGCTGTCCATTCACCACCACTATGGGAATGATGGCATTCCTCCATGCCTGGCTCAGGTTGCCCGAGTCCGGGATAAAACAGTTGTGCGGGGGAGTTGCTCCAACAAATACAATGAACAGCCCAAAGAATCCAGTGGAGATGAAAATTGTATTCAGAAGAAAGAAAGTCCTATAGAAATAAGGTCCTTTCTGTCCCAGGAAGGCAGTAACATCATCATAATCTCCCATTCTTATTGCAGTATGAGGAAAAGTGGAGCACCTGAAACGGTTTGATACGTGTGTCTCAGAGATGTGGAGGGTAGTGAAGGGTTAAGTTCTCTTCTAGCAAATGCTCAACAGGACAGAATTACAACTTCCAAGCTGCAGTGTACAGACCTGGGTAAGTCCAGGGCCCCTTAACAACAAGCCACAGAGCACAGCTGTTCCATTCCCCCCGTCCCAGAGTTGATCCCAGTGTTAATCCCCAGCAGGGAACGGTTGTATACACCTTCCTCTGTTCAAAAAATGGAAGAGAACATAACTTGTTAAACATCAGTGGAAGACTCATATTTCTGATTGAGTTGAAATATACAGTAGATCATCAAAGACATACTGACCATATTAATGTGGCAGTTCAGTTAAAAACTTGATTTTTAATTATATTTCCACACTATGAGGTCAAAATAACATTAGGAAATTGTGAAAATTATGATAATGCCCTTTTTGTGTAAGAGCTGTTTGAAAAGAAAATGCCTGGAATTTCAGAGTTTTTGGCCCAGATCATGACATCACAATCTGATTATTAGTCATCTTTTATTTGCATATGTATCCTCCTACTTTGAAGGGGTAAGCGGGGTAGGCCCTAGAGTAGGGGTGTCAAACTCATTCCATGGAGGGCCTAGTATCTGCAGGTTTTTGGTTTTCCTTTTAATTAAGACCTAGACAACCAGGTGAGGGGAGGTCTTTACTAATTTGTGACCTTCATTCATCAATCAAGTACAAGGGTGGAGCGAAAACCCGCAGACACTCGGCCCTCCGTGGAATGAGTTTGACACATGCTCTGGAGTCTAGACCCCTCAAACTAAACTCTGGACCTCGAAGCCATTTCCATTGTTCCCCTCCAATTTAGACCTGGGACACCGGGTGTGTGCAATTACTTAATAGGTAGAACAGAAAACCAGCAGGCTCTAGACCTCGTAGGGTAAGAGTTGAGTACCACTGGTCTAGACGATCCTATCCGCCTCAGGGCTGTGTGTGTAAATATGTTTAAATATGTATTGATAAGCCCACATGATCAGACTGAGCATTTCAAATGGCAAAGGAGGCTCAGTGATTTATTATATATACAGTGATGATAAAATTAAAATTAAAAAGACTGCATGGGGGCTTTAACTGCCATATTAATACACATTTACAGTCCTGGTAGTAAATGTCTTATAGCATTTTCTCTAAACATCATTCCTTTCTCTTGCAAATGCCCCTAGGAATTGCATGGGATTGTATTGTGAATGGCTTACATAGCATTCAAAATCAACAAACTTTTCTAAAGCTGACAAGTTGAACTGTAATTCACTGTATGTCAACACGTAATTCATTGCACAATAATGTACTTTACTAAAATACATACATAATGAATGGTTGGTAGCATACTGAAACTTCTCTTCTATTCAAATAGCTAATACTTTCAGAAAAAAAGGTGGTTTTGAAGTTGCCATTGGAAAAGGTACATCTAGGGTTAGAGTTAGGGTTAGGGTTAGGGTTAGGGCACCAAGCTTTGATATCAAGGAATTTAAACTGTACTTACTTTCTTGTTTCTTGTCTTTTTTGAGAGAGTACTCAACCAGATGTGCTCAGTCGGGTTTCAGATCTGATTTAACCTCCCTGGCTGGAGTTTGGGGATTTTTATTCAATCTTACAATCAGTGATTAAATTCATTAATAGCTGACAAGATTATTTCCCTGGGTAATCAATTGTTGTACTACAGCAACATCATTAGAGTTGTCCCCTGACTCAGCAGATTTGAGTTGATTGTGGAAACCCTTTTTAGGGGGTGGGGGGAGGGGGTAGGGCACAGAGTGCTGGGAAGGAGCCTCATTGTCATCTAATGTTTTAACAACTCCTCAAATGATTCTCTGCATTGAAGTGACTCCTGCTGATGGAATGTAAAGACCCGTGTTCTTAGCACCAGATATAATTGTTCCTTAAATTATATTGATTTCGACATCCAATAGACACAACATACAGTACATATACGGTAGCTGTCTTTGACATGTGGAAGTGGTACTTTTGACTGTTGACTGGTTTAATCAACACAGATGATAGGGCAGATAATGGACTGCCTTGAGTGGTAATATTACTGGTTTAAGTGCTTTGTTGATCATTGATTTTGATGGACTTTGTTTTCTATCGGGCCACATACATCACCACGTGCATCAACTTCTGCTAGCTGTATTCTAACAACACTACAATAGCCTATCTACAATGTTAAAAGCTTATCTATTGGTCTTCAAAACAAAAAGAGACTGTTTCCTTATATAATGCCAAATGATGTTGGTTATTAATGGTATTTTGGGCCATTTAGAGGTATTTCCCTGTAAGTTATTCTGCTTGTATTGGAATCCTGTCATTTGCTTTTTGAAATTTGGAGAAAGAAAATACAGACAAAAATACATTTACATTTTACCAGACGCTCTTATCCAGAGCGACTTACAGTTAGTGAGTGCATACATTTTCATACTGGCCCCCCGTGGGAAACGAACCCACAACCCTGGCGTTGCAAGCGCAATGCTCTACCAACTGAGCTACAGGGGGGGCCGTCTAAAAACATATCACTTGTCATAGTACACTTCATAAAGTAAGGTAATATTACATTGAAAGTTCAGTGTGTTAGAACCGCTCAATCTAAGTTACATAACAAAAAAATCCCCATCAAAGTCCTTCAGTTTAAGCTAGAGATGTTGTTTTGCATTGGATGCGTCCTAATCAACCGCACCCGTCAGTGTCGCACTTCCGCATCCTGCGGTGAACAGTTTGACCTAGAAACCACCATGATAAAACTATCATTCTATGGAGTGGGGAGACTCTCACGAACACGATGGTGATCTCCGTTTTGCTCTATGACCCCCACAAGTCTGAGGAGACTCGTCTGAAGTCGGTACCGTCGATGTGCCAACTTCTGTTTGGTAGCGTCCGAAACGTTTGGGCTACAAATTAATGGGACCACACTGTGGAAAGGGGAGATTCTCACGAACACGATGGTGTTCTCCATTTAATCAATATTTTATACTTTTTTTTATACCTAAAGGGGTCCTAAGATTCCAAATCAAATAGCTAAATGACCATCTTAAAACAATTCCATATGTCAGCTTAGCACCTCTCTCCCCCAACGTCTTAAAATCTTGCACATATTTACATTTGAGTCATTTAGCAGACACTCATATACAGAGCGACTAGGGTTAAGTGCCTTGCTCAAGGGCACATCGGCAGATTTTTCACCTAGTGGGCTCAGGGATTCAAACCAGCAATCTTTCAGTTATTGGCCCAACGCTCTTAACCACCAGGCTACCTGCCACAATACAAATATTACATAATGCTATACATAATAGAATAAGTGCTTTTCTTTAATCATATATAATCAGTACTGTGGATTAGGTCATTATGGGGTCTTTATTATAATTATCACATATAAATAACTTATACAATCAGGGTTTTATCTTTCCTATTTGTTCAGGTCTTATATAGTCCTAGCCTTTTCTCCCTTTGGCACAGCTTGTGGACACATTGCAGTTATATTAGGATGAAGTAATAAAGGTGTTGTGGCCTTGAATGTCAGGACATACCCTTTTGACTGCATCTGCTCCACTGCTCTACTAGCTCTTTGCGGAACATCTCCAGCAGAAAGAGGTTCACAAGGGATGAAAAGTTGACAGAAGGGGTCTCCTTCTGAAAAGCCATGTAGATACTAGATATGCTAGGACAAACTCCTAGTTGACAGGATGACCCCTAGTTGGCAGTAGGGGTGAGTTCCTGAGAAGCAAAGTAAACAAGCCAGCTGTTATCTCAGTAACATCTTTAGTACAGGTTCTCTACTTCATTCTCTTGCTCACCCAGTACAAATGTAGTGGCATTATGGGATACCACAGAGGCACCAACAAAGAAGAAAATAACACAGAAGACCTCCCACAAGGGAGAATGAGGATGAGGAAAAACAGAAAGAGAGACGAAGAGCACTTCCAAAGTGGACAAAAAAAACCAACAGTCTGATACAGTACAATAGATACTTAAGGTTATTATATATATTTTATGATCTACATTTGAGCAGCGTAATCTAATCATGAATTTTATCTCAATGTACTATACATAACAGCCATGATGCCGTATATATACCTGTCAGAGTGCTGGCCTGAGACCAGGGAACCAACCAGAAACCCAAATTACAATGTGGAGGAGGCATTAGGAACTTTCTGCGCCTCTTTAATGATTCCATGTCAGATATCATGCTGACCACATGGTCATCATAAACACAGACAGCAGTCAAGTGTTCAGAAGGAAGAAAACCATCCAGAGGTAAGGTCCATTCTACTCCAGGAAAGCAATGACTTCAGTGTAATCTCTCATTCTTCTGGCAGTGTGCTTGGCAAAGAGAGAGGAGAAAGTTTGAATTCATCACAACATCTAAATATTTTTATAATACCACTCAAGTAAATGCACATGGAAAGGTGAACGCATCACTTCAGTCACCAACAGTTGATCACTTTTCAGGTGTTTCTTTAGAGCAGCATGCTGGATATATTAGCCAAGCATAAAACAAGCATTTCCCTTTTATCTATCATTGTACACTCTAAAAATTAGGGGTTCAACAAGGGTTCTTCTAAAATCCTCAAAGTTCTTCGAAGAACCTTGGCACTGAAAATGGCCCCCAAAAGGTTCTTCCAAGAACCCCATAGGAGGTGGGGTTAATCGAGGAACCTCCTTAGTTGTTGGGGGTTCTTGCAAGAACCTAACTGCCCAACTGAAACATTTGGATTTTAATTTGAAAGGACAGCAGGTGCAGGCACTTAACTGAAAAGATTTAAGAGCTCCTCAATTTAAGGTAAGGGTTGTCCCTGGACACAATTCAATGGATATCTGTCACGACTTCGGCCGAGGCTGCCTCCCCTCCTTGTTCGGGCAGGCTTCGGCGTTCGTCGTCACCGGCTTACTAACCACTGCCGCCCCAATCATCATCACAATTGTCTCGTCTTGTCAAT